GGTCAAGCTCTTAAGTCATGAACCACATTTAAGCCTTAGCAGGAAGTGCCAGGATCTAGAAGAATACAGCTCCATGGGGCAAAACAAGGATTTCCTTTAGGACCTGATTCACCCAATCACTGGAGACAGAATCTCTGTTCCTTGATCTCATTAGCTCTGCCCTTTGACATTTGTGGACACACTTTATTTCGACTACAATAATGAGTCAATAACTTCCAGGTGTTTAGTGTCCTTAGAGGTGGGCTAGAGGGAGGAGAACAATCAGATGAAAAGTCAAAGCAATCAAAGAGAAACCCAGCTGTTCCTGGTAGCTACTCTGTGACAAAATTGGAGTCATTTATTCCCTCTTGTTTGCCTATCAGTGGAAGTATAAGAAAAAGAAGTGAACACCGTCTATAAATTAGACATGTCCTCTGTGTGTTTAAGGGCAGGTATAGAGCCAGCCAAATATTCATTGAAGAATTACTTTAACCCCAAAATAGAAAAATAAAAGTAGTCATGCCTCCCATCTCTTACCTTAGTGTAACAAGTACTCAGGTGCTCCCAAATCCTTACAAGAACTCAGAATCCCTTGAGAAATAGGTGACACACACACAATGAAATGACTTAAGTTTTAGACATAACTGGTGATCTTGTTTATGAGTCAGACACACACATGGATTCCAGTGCTGCTGCTACTGCTCCTATTACCAGCCTTACAGCTCAGAATGTGCAAGGACAGTGTTTTTGTAAAGATTAAAACATGAAAGGCCACACTTGGTCAACAGTATCTGCCCAGTGAATGCCAGTTTACTTGAAATTAAAGAGTAGAAGAAGGTAACATATAGTCAGAATTTATTGCTCACAGGAATGATGCTGGGATTTCCTTTCTAAAACAGAAAGATGATGATTGGCTAGGTTGGCTGTGTTCTGAACCACACCCTGAGAGCATACCTAGGGGTCAAGGAACTGAGACTCGCTCTCCCCAGGGACTATCATTGCCGTGTCCCTTAAGGTTTAGCCTACAAAGTAAAACTCTAATATGCATGTCTGTTTGTCCATCCTGTTGCAGGAACCAAGGAAATGTGAGGAGCATATTTGTAGAGCTTTGGTGCAATTTAAAGCCCAGCCAGTGTATCAAATCTGCTTCCTTCCTATTACCCTTATGAGAGTAAAGACTTTTCCCCAGATCTCAGTTAAGTTCCAGACCTGGGAATACCAACAAGATGTGGAAACAGAGCTCCCTAGGGCTGTGTGTGTTTCCCCCCTACTGCCTGGAAATGGCATGTTTCTCTTTCCACTTTGTCTACGTTTTGCTTGGTAAATATTTCATTTTGCCAGGTTCCTGGAGGTGGCAACGAAAGCAGCTGCCTGTGTTTACTTCGGCACCACCTGAGCACAGAGACAAAATCCCCAGGGCACTGTCCCTCTGGAATACCCAAGTCATTGTTTCCCTTGCTTGTAGCCTCTGGAAGGGAGGTGTCAGAACCTCCTTGCATACCCCCATAGGTACTCTATGGCTCTAGGGACAAGCAGCTTTGAGACCAGGGAGTTTATTGATGCACAAGTTCTCCACAGAGCATGGAAAAAGTAAGATTACTGGAGCATCATGGTACTGGATGCTCTGTGTTCCAGCCAGAGTTCAGCTGGTGCATAGTAGCTCTGTGTGCTGAGAAACAGGCTTAGAGGAAGTCTTTACTTCAAGGGTCTCTTTCTCTCTCTCTCTCTCTCTCTCTCTCTCTCTCTCTCTCTCTCTCTCTCTCTCTCTCAATCCATTCACTAAGAAGAATCTGGCAGAAACGGTGTATATGCACACATGCACAAGCATTCTAGGAAGAACAACATAAGATGTTAAGGAAACCACTGAAAAGAGAACTTTACTTTCTATTTTTCCAGTAAAGTCTTTACTGTCCTGGGAGAAAAGAGCTGCTAAACTAATCCATTCACAGAATATACATAAATGATGGAGTTCTTCTCCCTCCTCTGAGCTTAATTGTACAACTCAACATTGTACAACTTGTCTAAGTTGTGAATGTTTAAGCTCATTGGTTGGCTATGAAAGTATATTGTGGAGGACAGGAGTGACTTCTGGGTTTAGGGCCTTGTACCTGGGGTACTGAATATTACATCAGTGTATAAGAACAGATCTGCTCCCAAAGCAATAGTCACAAGAAAAATCAGAAGCCATCCATCCAAACAAGGTTCCAAGTTCTATAAGGGAAGGGACCATGTTTTGGCTTACCTTGGATTCTTAGTGCTCAAGGCAATCCCAAAGCTCACTGCATGCAGCTATATGACCTGCTGTGCAGTGGGCATAGGCCACACCCAACTGTAAGTACAAAGAAGTCAAATGAAGGCCTCTAGGCACCCTCCAACTAGAGATTTTCATTCCTGCGGGAACATGCAACAGACAATTGTCTTATAACATGATACGATCTATATACAGATACCATGGGATAGGATAGGCCCTAAGTTGAGCTAATTAGCCCAAAGGAACACAAGTAGAGGTGTTCAGTGGCTAGTGAAAGCACACAATAAAATAAGCATCAAGGTCCGCAAGCCAAACACAGGCTGAGCCTTTTACACACACCCATACTAGATGCAGGTAAAATAAAAAGACTTCTAGTGCTCTCTGGGACTAACCAATACTCCTATTTCTAGAGATAAGTGTCATTCAGCTTTGACCACATGCACCAAAAGTAAAATATTTAATTTTGTTAGCTTTGTGGGCTCCAAGCTCACTACAAATTGCTATCACAGGAAAGCTCATTTTTAACCAATAAAAAGACATGGCTGGCAACTGATCATATACAACAAAATCTCCCCAAAATCTGTCACAAGAAATAATTTAAAAGTTTTCCTTAAACAACAGTGAGGAGTTGTGGCCAAGTATGTCACTTCTGTCATCTTCTCCCCATCTGATGCTGACTATGTGTTCCAAGTGACATCATGTGTCATCTGGACACTCTGAGGGCCTCTTCTCTGCCTTCCTGGCTCTGGCTCTATCTTTGTCCGCTTGGTGTCTTTTCTCCACACAGCAGTATCAGAAATCCCTTCTAACCACATGGCAGAAGACATTACTCCCCTCTGAAAGCCACCCAGGGGCTTCCTTCCCATGCCCTTTGCCCCATATGACCTGATTCCCTTCCTCAGATTCATTGTCCACCATTGGCTCCTCTCTACCCAGCCATACTGACTTATAACAAGCAGAAGCCCCTTCTGCCGCAGAGTCTTTGTGCTTGCTATTCTATCTTTCTGGAATGTTCTTCACCTAGGTAATTGCTGGATGTCTCCCCCAACTTTCTTCTGGGAGGCAGACACAAGACAGTCAGGAATCAAAAGGTCACCCTCAGCTACATATTAGGCTCACTTTCCAAAAATTAAATAAATAAACTAAAAAATGGCACCATATCCTAGACCATAGCATCACGACATCACTACTCTCTAAGCAGCACCTTTGATCATATCTCCATCTAAAAACATAGTACATAGGAATTAACTCTTCATTGTTTGACAAGCGAGATTTTCCCTGTGTCATTTTCATCTATGAGGGGTGGTACTTACTGGCTTGCTCTCCATAGCTTACTTAGACTGCTTTTTTTGTTTGTTTGGTTTTTTCGAGACAGGGTTTCTCTGTGTAGCTTTGGAGCCTATCCTGGCACTCTCTCTGGAGACCAGGCTGGCCTCCACTTACAGAGAAACACCTGCCTCTGCATCCCGAGTGCTGGGATTAAAGGCATATGCCACCAATGCCCTGCCAGCCTGCTTTCTTTTGGCACACAGGATCACCAGCCCAGGGATAGTACCACCCACCATGGGCTGGGCCCTCCCCATCAATCACTGATTAAGAAAATGCCTTACAGACTTGCTTACAATCGATCTTATGGAGGCATTTTTCTCAATTGAGTTTCTCTCCTCTCAGATGACTCTAGCCTGTGTCAAGGTGACATAAAACCATCTAGCACAAAATATGGTGAAGAACAGAATGTGAGGAGCCACTGTTCTCAGAAACTTCACATAAACACAGACACTGAGAGCAACCTTTGCACCTGTTGACCATGTGTAATCTGGCCTTGTCTCCGTTCCCATATTCTTATCACTGTGTCAGTTCCTCTTTTGTCCTTACAGGGAAGACATCATTCCCATTTCACCTCTGTAAAGGAAGTTACTTTAATCATATGACTTTGTCGTTATTTTAAAAAACCAAGAATTTTAAAAACACTATTTTAAATTATGTAAAGCGTGGGCAGATGGGATTTTCCCTTCTTTCTTTGTGGGTGTATGCACAGCTGAATAAAGTTGGAAATATTTTAAAAAGAATCCTATTGTTGCTTTCTCATTTTATGATTATTTGCTGACTTCCCATTCTGTCAATCAAGTGGGCCAAAGCCCATCCCAAAAAAGATTTCCTGTGCTCCATAGAGCCAAACACTTGCAAAAACATATGAAAAACAAATAGATTTAACATTTTCCTACTTTGTTGTATAAACTAAGTGTGAATGACCTTTTGTTCTGGTGTGACTTTTGCATACCTTGGTATTCTGTAAAGTTTAAAAGGATCTGTAGATGTTTTTACTGACTTCAAAAACAATGTATTGCAGCCATGGGTAGTGCCACATGCATATATGCCAGCATTCAAGAGGCAGAAACAGGAGGATTGCTGCAACTTTGAGACCACTCTGCTCTACATCATGAGTTCCAGGCCTGCTAGAATGTCACAAAACGACCCTTTATCCAAAAAAGAATAAAGACTTCTTTAACAATGACCAATCTTAGGAGAGCACTATAAAAATTAATTCTGCTAAGAAAATGAATTCCCTTAAAGGGCTCCTTAAGTACTCTTCATGTATTTTATGCAATCAGTTCTCAATTCCTTTTTTTCTTATTTAATTACAATTATTTAAAATATGGGATGCATCTCCAATTTGGATGTCTCCCATGTGCGGGAACTATGTTAATCTCCTCTGTGTCATTCAGGTTTAGTACAAGTGCTTCAAGACAGCACTTATGAAATCAGTTCTTTCCCACTCAACACATTGCTGAATGAATGTGTCATTTGGGAACTATTATTTACTTGTTATATTTAGATTGTGATTTTGTAAAATCTGACTCTGGGTCAGTTCGCTGATATTTGCTAACCCGTGTTTAGTGGCCTAAAGGTCAGCATTACATTCACAGAGGTAACTGTCTGTATCTTAAACACTTAGATTTACAAGAGAAACAAGATTATACCATTGTCCAATGTGAGAATTAAGCAAAAAGTTTAATTCTTGCATTTTGCAGCAACATTTTATTCTTGAAGAAGATTTCAAACATTCTAGTCATTTTATTTCTAAAATGCTCATTGATTTTCCTAAGAAGTTAAGTTTTAGAGTTGTTTATTCTTCCATTAGACTGTTTAGTCTCTTTGTTAGAATTTAATCCCATTGTGTCTTCATTTTGGGGAGCCTGCAGTAGTTCAAGAGTACAACGTATCTCTTGAGCTCTTGTTAATCTCTGAATGTCTTCATTATTTCTGTGTTGGGTGTGTACACATTGACTTCTGCTTAGTGTCATGTATACTTCAGGTACAATGAGGAAGGTCCCTGTTTCATGGAACTTACATGCTAACAGTAGAAAGAAAGGATAATAGGTACATGAAAGCAAAGCATACAGTTTACCAAACGTGATCTATACTGTGAAAAAATAGAATAAATCAAGGAGACTGAGGGAGTGATCTGGCTATAGCTATAATCAGATAATTCAGTTATTGAGATGAAAATTATAGGAGTTTAGAGTCATGGATATATGGAGCAAGAACATCTGAAGCAGAAAGGAGAGGGCAGAATCCCTAAGTGTGGAGTGCACGTGGTATATCGGAGGAATAGGAGTATTCCAACACTGAGGCTGGAATGGAGGCTGGATGAGCTCACAAAGGAAGTGATTCAGGTAAGGACTTTGACTTTTACAGAGTCCTGAGCAGAGAAGAGATGTGACTTCACTCCAGGCACTGCTCTGACTACACTGCTGGATCCTAGGACAAGGACAGGAATAGAGACAACAAAGAGGGGTGGCTTTCAGACAACTGTTGGGGGACAACAGTAGACACGGTGAGAAGTGGTCAGATTCTGGTTATAGTTTGACACTAAAGGCACAAGGACTTCCTGATGTAGGCTGAGAAGAAAGTGAGAAAGCAGAGTGCATATTTTCCACCCACTGAGTAGATGAAGGATAAAAAAGCAGCAGGAATTGCTGTGAAGTGTAGAGAACAGAGTTTGGCTTCTGTATCTATCAGATAGCCAAGAGAGAAGTGGGTACCAGGATGAAAGCCAGCGAACAGGATTCTGGGCCACAGGTAAGTACTTGGGAGCCGATGCTTGCGACTGGAGTGTAAAGACAATGAATGAAATTGACAGAATAAAAGGGGTGGAAAGAAAAGAGAACACTGTGGGAGAAAGGAGACTAGAGGAGATGAGAGGGTTATAGCCTGCTTGTGAAGGCTAAGAGACCAGGCAGAACAGGATATGTCACCAAAGTCAAATGAGAAGGGGTGAAACAAGGAGTGTGACATCACTGGGCATCGATATGAAGCCATAACTAAGAGGTACACAGTAGTCAGGTTCACGACAGGAGACTGACAGGAGAAAATTTAATGTAAATAGTGATCAAGTTAACAGCTAACAAAAAGATGAAAGGGAGCTCTAAGGTCTCACGAAGGTGGCAGCTGCAGGAAAAGTAACTATACCACCCCCTGGCTTCAGGATGGGAGGTGGATGAGTAAAGGCGAGGAATTTTAGTTCCTAACTAAGTTTAGAGTAAGGGCCCATAGATCTGAAAATCAGACTTTCATAAAACAGTTGCTTTTTAACTCATCTGATGGACCAAAAGGAGATCCTGAGAGGGGTTTTATATCCCTGCTTGAAGCTGTGGTGGGTCTATATATGGCAATATTTTCATTTTTAATGCAACCGAACAAATTACCACAAATACCATGGTTTAAGATAACAGAACTTTATCCTTGCATAGTCTAAAAACTAGAAATCAGAACTTAGGTGTCAGCAGGTATGCTCTCCTGGAGGCCCTAAGGGGGAATCTCTCCCATACCTTCCCTTGTGGCTGCTTGTAATCTTTGGCATTTCTTGACTAATGATCTGTTTCTCTAATCTCTGTCTCTCTTTCCCACAGCCTTCTTTCAAGGACACGAGTCACTGGATTTAGAGCCTACCCTACCCCCAGTACAGCCATGTCATAACTATTTTGTTTACAAATACCCTATTTTCAAACAAAGCCAAATTCTGGGATCATGGGAAGACATGAATTTTATGGGAGGTGACACTATTCAATGCACTAAGGTAGTTTCTCAACCATCTTGAAAAGTGGTAACTTAAATGATGTACTGAAGCAAGAGGATACCAATATTGCAAATAGAGATTTGTCTAAGGCATGCCACTCCCAAGAGCCTCACAGAGCAGAAGTCCATGGGAAGCAAATGAGAAAGTGAAGCCCTTCTCCCTCACCCAGACTCTCTGATTCCTGTCTCCTCTTGGACAAGCATGCTATAGAGCCATCTCAGGAATTCAGTCTGTGACTACCTTTTCCAGAATGACAAACAGAATGAACAAAGGTAGGTTTGGAGCTGAGAAACAATGTCTTAATAATTAGTACTGTTGCTGGCTGGAGAAGAAAGATGGGTACTAAGAATTGTCTTCTGGATTTAGCTTCAGTTCTGCAACCAAATAAATACCCTAAGGAAATGTTGTCTTGTTTGTCAAGCTGGCCAAACATTTCAGCACTCTGGTCAGCTCCTTGGCGACTTCTGACCTCTATCAGGGCAGTTAAATAATGCACATAATTAATTCTTCCTTCATCTACATCCATCTACAACGCACGAACTGCCGCCTGCAGATGGTATTTATCCCATCACCCCTCTGCAGACTTTTACTACTGCAGGTGAGTTAAAGCAGTCTTGGAAATGAATATAACTGTATTCCAATACGATACCCACGAATGAGTAAAAATAGGTGGTTAATTTTAGTCTGGTTTCTCTTGAGGTAAAAGAGGAACAAATCAAAAAAGTAGGGAGAAATTCAATAAATCTGGAACAAAGTCAATGCAGATTTTAGAGACCTAGACACATCTGTGAGACCTCACCGAGCTTTCTGTTTGCTTTTAAATTGAAATTTATAAAGCAAGCTGATGCTTTGAATATTTTTTAAAAATCACAGAATAAAGAGTAAAAACAAATACTGAAAAATTGCATTTGTCATTAGGTACTTCTTTGAATCTTAATTATGTAAATTAGTTGAGGATAATGCCTATATTGCTATGTTGTGATCTCTAAAAGCAACTTCATTTTTTTCATAGGAAAGCAACAACACATTTCTAAGCTAATGGGAAGTTAAAATACTGAAAGTCAAATTGGAAAGAAAAAATGTCACCAGGTGTTGGTGGTGCATGCCTTTAATCCCAGAACTCGGGGGGCAGAGGCAGGCAGATCTCTGTGAGTTCGAGGCCAGCCTGGTCTCCAGAGTGAGTGCCAGGAAAGGCTCCAAAGCTACACAGACAAACCCTGTCTCGAAAAACCAAAAAGAAAGAAAGAAAGAAAGAAAGAAAGAAAGAAAGAAAGGAAGGAAGGAAGGAAGGAAGGAAGGAAGGAAGAAAGGAAAGAAAGAAAGAAAGGAAAGAAAGGAAAGAAAGAAAAGAAAAAAGAAAAATGCCTAAATTGTCCCTCACTACTAGTTATTATTTGAAATTTGTGATATTCTTTTACTTCATAGAATTAGTTTTGTGCATCTAAAATAAATACTAAAACAGGATCGTAAAACTCCCAAGAGAGGAAGCAACATGAAGAATGGCACTCAAATCAATGCAGAAGAGCCGATTAATCTAACCAAGTTCTGCCATGAGCTACAGTCTTGACCTCTTTGTGCTGAGTTACAGTGAGACTTGAAATTTCAACTTTATGTTTGTGCTTCAGCCCCCAGAGCCTCAAACCCTCCAGAGGAGCTTCTATATTTTGCTAAACAAATAATGCTGTGGAAAATTAATCTTACTGGCATTCCACAGGATATGTATCTGCTCAAGCAAAACTGAGGGAAGCATTAACAATCTTATTTTGGAATAATGTTAGTTGCTGATAAGTATCAAAATAGAAAGCCAATAATTTTATAAAAACTTGAAATAATCTGAAAACAAATAGTTAAAGAATTTCTGGTTTATTTGTGGTGTGTGTGTGTAAAACAATCATATCAATTTGGTGATACTTCTAAATAGTCATTGCAGTGTTATAACAGAGGATTTCATTTGAAATTCAAAATAGAAGAACATTTTCTTTAAAACTACTGACAACATCCTAGCAGGTAGAGCCTGTCACCCTGAGTTTGATCCTGAGATCCACATGGCAAAGGAGAAAGTTGTCCTCTGACTTCCACAAGTGTGCTGTGGCAAACACACACATACACATATAAGTTATTTACTTACTTAAATAAGTAACAATAATTAAAATAATTTTAATATTTTTTGAGTCAGGGCCGCTCTGTGTAACCCTGGCTGTCCTGTAACTCATTCTGTAGACCAGGCTGGCCTTGAGCTCACAGAGATCCACTTGCCTCTGCTTCACCAGTGCTGGGATTAAAGGCATGCATCTCAACACCTTTTAAAAAAAATTTACTTACGTGTTTTTCCTGCATGCATATATTCATACTATGTGTGTGCCCAATGTCTATAGAAGTCAGAAGAAGGCATTGTATCCCTTGGAACTGAGGTTACAGACAGTTGTGAGTCACCATGTTAGTGTGGGAATGTAACTCAGGTCCTCTGCAAGAGCAGTGAGTGCTCTTAACCACTGAGTCATTTCTCCAACCTACCCAACCAAACAAAAGTGGACATGAAGGATTATCTTTCTTAATTTATTTTGTTGTTATTATTTTGTGTATATATGTGTGTAGTGCTCATACACAAATGTGCATGCATGTGTATGCACAGGCCATTGATCAGTGTTGAATGTCTTCCTCAAATCCTCTCTGC